ATTTATAAATTAAAAAAATGGGACATTATTACGGATCTTACAGACATTCAGAGAATAACAAACATTAGGAATAACTTTGGAGCAATGAATTCTACAACTTAGACGAAATGAACAAATTTCTTACAAAATGCAAACACATACAAAAATTGAAAAATCTAAATAATACTGAATTTAAAAAACCCTTTCCTAAAAGAGGTAGTCTCTCTGGCAAAAAAAAAAAAAAAAAAAAAAATCTATCAAATATTTAAGTAAGAAACAATACCAACCTTAAGAAAACTCAGAAAACAGTGAGGGAGAAAGTCCTTTCCAACACATTTTATGATATTAAAACTAATAAAGACATTACAAGGAAAAAAAAAATCCTATAGACCAATGTCTCATACACGTGGATATAAAAATTCTTAAAAATAAACCATTAACATATCCATAAATATTTTAAAATATTAATTCATCATAACCAAATATCATCAAGGTTGGTTTGTCATTAGAAAATCACTTAGTGGAATTCATTGCAAAAAGAATAAAGGAATAAAACTACATGATCCTCTTAATAGATGCAAAAAAAGCACTGGACAAAATTCAACAGCCATTCATAAAAAACAGTCAGAACATTAGGAACAGAAAGGAACTTCCTCAATCAGACAAAAACAATCTACAAAATATCCACAAATTAACATCATACTTAGTGGGGCACTATGGAATGTATTCCCCCTACGATCCGGAACAATGCAAAAATGTCGATTCTTACCACTTCTATCCAACATTTTACTGTAGGTTTTAGCCAGGACAAGAAAGGAAAAAAAAAGATTAGAAAGAAAGAAGGAAACCAGATGACATGGTTGTGTATGCAGAAAACCTCAAGAATCTATATATAGAATTCTAAAACCAAAAAGTGAATTAAGCAAGGATCCACAAAGAAAGATCAATATACAAAAATCAAGTATTTTTCCATATCTTAGGAATAAACTGGAAAATAAAATTTAAAACCAATAAGTTATAACAGCACTAAAAACTATAAAATATTAAGGAATATATCTAATGAAAGACAAGCTATACATCACTACTAAAAACTACAAAATAAGACAGAAGTGGTATATCCAGTAAGACCATTACCCTGAAACTGTCAAACCTGACCCTGCATTCTGGACAAATAACCATACTTTCTTATTTTACTTAGAAGATCCCAACCAAGAAAGCAAACCATGTTGCTGGATCTCAATTCCTCATTTGCTTTAAAATTTTTGTGCAATCAACTTTCTTCTTTTTCCTTAATGGTTAACTCCTCCTTTACTATTTTTCTGAAATACACCATTACAGTGCTTACTTTGAGTTAGGAACACTGAACTGCTTTACAAATATTAACCTTGTTAATATCCTATGAGTTAGGTACTATTATTAACTCTATTTTACAGATAAAACTATGTACCTACATTACCTAGCTAGTATATGGTAGAGGAACAATCCAAACTCAGGCAGTCTAGCTCAGAGTCTGACCATGATATCCTGATGATATGCATTTGGTTAAGAGGAGTCTTGTAAGTGGGATACGTAAATACTGTCTAGGAGTACACAAAACAACTGGCTTACAAAAAGTAAATACTGGAACTTATTTAATCTCATCCTTTAATATTTTTGTGTGTGCTAAAGTATACAATGTATTAAGTACCTGTATATAATTTACAAATAACTAAATGTACATGTTATTAGTAGTATACTCTCAAAACCTCATTAATCACTGTATTAGCTTCCTAGGGGTTGCTTATAACAAAGTACCACAAACTGGGTCGCTTAAAACAATAGAAATTTATTTTCTCACAGTTCTGGAGGACATAAGTCTGAAATCAAGGTGTTGGCAGAGCCACGTTCTCTTGAAGACTCCAGGGGAGATTCTGTTCCATGCCTTTCTCTTATGCTTCTCATTTCTCCAACAATCCTTGTCATTGCTTGGCTTGCAGCTGCTAACTCCAATATCTGCCTCCATCTTCACATGGCATTCTTCCCTGTGTGTCTCTACTCTTTTTCTAAGGACATCAGTCATATAGGATTAGGGGCTCCACTCTACTTTAGTATGACTTCATCTTCACTTAAATAATTACATTTCCAAAGACCCGATTTCTGAGTAAGGTCACATTCTGAGGTACTGGAGGTGAGGATGTCAGCGTACTTTTTGAGACACCCAATTCAACCCACTGATACAGGCGATTCAAAAACCTTTTAAGCCTGCATCTTTGTGTCCTAGACCAAGCACAGTACATTTAGAAGATATGAAACTGAACTGTGAGTTATGAAAGCCGCATCTTATGATCTATTAGATTCTATTTCTCTATATACCTGTTTGAACAAATATTTTCATAAAATCAATCATGACTTGAAAAGGGACTAATTACAGAATACTTTGACAAAGATAAATTAAACTTTTACATTTCCTGTCATGTCCTGCCTGATTTCTAATATCCACAAGACTTAAAAAGAAAGAATAAAAGACTTAACCAGAGAAATTTTTTTTAAAAAAAGAAAAGCAAAAAATAACAGGTGCTATTTCATATAGCTCCTTATACCATGTTTAATTTGTCCTCTGGTTACCCTTTTTAAAAATATCAATTCATTCTATCCTAGTAGGATGTGAAAGATAAATTTAATTATGTCCTTCCCCCTGGAAGGTATGAAGCAGAGTTAGAGAAGAGGCCAGTTTTGTTCTAAATTGGGGCCCTGCATCAGTCAGAAATGTCTTTTTTTTTTGGAGACAGAGTCTAGCTCTGTTGCCCGGGCTAGAGGGCCGTGGCGTCAGCCTAGCTCACAGCAACCTCAAACTCCTGGGCTCAAGCAATCCTTCTGCCTCAGCCTCCCAAGTAGCTGGGACTACAGGTATGCGCCATATGCCCAGCTAACTTTTTCTATATATTTTTAGTTGTCCAGCTAATTTCTTTCTATTTTTAGTAGAGACAAGGTCTTGTTCTTGCTCAGGCTGGTCTCAAACTCCTGACCTTGAGTGATCCTCCTGCCTCGGCCTCCCAGAGTGCTAGGATTACAGGTGTGAGCCACTGCACCCAGCCAGAAATGTCTTTCTTGCCATGACACTGAACAGAGAAACTAAAACCAAGTAAGGGACTGGTAGTTAAACCAACTTTTAGCATCTCATAAATCAGATATTTCCATTGTCGTTATGGTAAACAATTTTAAATGTGTCATTCTGAAAGCCAGTAACATTGCCCCACTGAAACAGCATTAGAAATTATTAGGTTAGATTCAAAGTTAGCTCCAACTCTGAATTCATGTTAGTTGACTCAGCTTATTCTCTTCTTTTTTGACTAATTTACCATAACCAGTGATTATACTTATATTATTGGTCCTCCTGTTTTTCAGTTATATTGTTGAATAGGTGTTTATGCACTAATTGGAATCCCTTGTAGCCTTTTGTGTCCAGCTTCTTTCACTTAACATAATGCTTTCAAGGTCCATCCATGTTGTAGAACTTCATGTTGTGCTACCATTACTTTATATGGTTGGATAATATTCTAATGAAGGGATATACCTCATTTAATTTATCCATTCATCATGTGATGGACATGTGAATCGTTTACACTTTTGGAGTGTTATGAATAATGCTTACATAAACATTCGTGTATAAGTTTTTTGTGTGGATGTGTTTTCAATTCTCATGGGTATACACGTAGGAGTGAAATTGCTGGGCCATATGTAACTCTATATTTAACTTTTTGAGGAACAGCAAACTTTTCCAAAGTGGTTGAACCATTTATCATTCTACTGGCAACATATAAGGACTCCAATTTCTCTACATCCCCATCAACACTTGCTTTTGCCTTTTTTTGATTATAGCCATCTAGTGGGTGTGAAGTAATATCTCACTGTGGTTTATGATGTTCAGCATCTTTTTGTGCCATTCACTTTTAAACGCCACAGTAACACCTGTCCATCACAGGACAAAAAAAAAGAACAACACTGCTTAGAGAATAAAGTTCTTTAACATCTAGGCATGTTAGGAAGACATATTTGGAAAGCCAAATATAATCTGCATTAAGACCTTTGCAATAAGATATATGTTATTTTCAATGATCGTTAGAGTCTCTGACTTTCTTAGCTATCTGCTACTCCTAACACCCACAGTATGATTAGGGGCAGCAGAAGCTCCTTTATCTGGGAGTCCTTAAAATGGAATGATTTAAACAATAATATTATTGTAAAATCTCCCTCCTCCACCAATGTTAATTCATTTAAAAATAATTTAGATTTGCCTAACTGCAGAATGTATTAGCGTAAGATGTATAGAAAGATTGGTGGTATAATTTGTTGGGTTGTGACATTAAGGTGTCCAATCCTTAAGATACAGACAGGGTAGAATTAATCAAGGTGGATAATTACAATGACATCAAAGTGATTTCACTGGTAACCTATTAGGTCTGGTCAGTTATACATTTTATGACACAGCATCTGGTTTAAAGATTTAATGTGTGTAATATTTATGTTAAAATTTTTCTCCACAATTGGAGTAGATAAATATGAGAAATTAATCAAATTAGGTCAGATACAAGGTATTTTGTGTAAGCAATCTACTGTAATTCAGAACTCATTATTAAGTTAAAGGAGCATTAAAAAGCTGATCCTCATCTCTCACCCTCAAATTCCTCTGAAAATCTGTTAGTGGGCTAATTATGGTCTTGTATCATGAAGAGATATTTATTCACAGAGTAACTAAAACTTTAAAAAGAAGTGTTTAAAAAGAAATAAAAGCACATGAGTATTCTCAGATTTTCATTCACTCTAGCAAGACAATTATAATAACTATTCTGCAGAGTAGCATATGTTAATTCTTCAGTGAGAACACAGCCCCCATTGCAGGCTCAGATCTGGTTAAACCAAGATAGAAGATTTTGTTTGGCATGTTTCTCAACTCCAGATTTAAAAGGAATATCTCTGGTGCGTTTCAAACAATGCAAGAAATGTATATCTAATTATTAGGAATTTTGAGAGACATTTTTTACCTGTGTCCATACTTTGATTCAACTGTTGATCACTTGTTTCGCCATCTTCACTGATATATCCAGGAGGTGGCGTTTCTACAAAAGTTGTAAAAAGCAAATCAAGTATAATTGCAATGTAATCTTGCCACCTTTTCTTCCAACTACCAAAGATAACCAATGAATCACTCCAAATAACAAATAAGAATGTTATATAACATTATTATAAAAAGTAATACTGGATACTGAGGGCTTATGACTGAGGTTCTGAAACAAGTGTTAAAGGTCAATCCTTAAAACCTACTTGTTACACAATCCAGCTCTCTGGGCATATTTTCTTAGACATTACTTACATATCTGGCTCATTCCCATATGTATATATTCTGGGGCAAGAGCCAAAAATATAACTTCAAAGACAACTCAGTTCTGAATTAGTAGGCATCAAAGACATTAGTACCTAAAATTTTTTTTTAAATTAATGAACAGCATGGATGGGTACTTAGGAGATCAAAGGACACACACACACACACACACACACACACACACACACACACACACACAATTTCAGATTACAAAAGTAATAGTGGCTTACATCTTACACTAAATTCTATAGGGCAAAATAGTACAGTTCAGGACTGGTCTAGCCTGAATTCTACCTAAAAAGTGTTTTCCTGGGATTTCCAACTAGTCAATTCTAAATGTTTAAAGCAGAAAATTCAATTCAAATATAGACTACTTCACAAAACAGAAGTAAAATACTCCCTGAAAATAAATATTAAGATTCTAATGTGTCATTTCCAACACACTTTCTGAACAAAATGTTTATGTTCAGGAGGCATCTGAACAGCTGAATAAGCTTCTCATAAAATAAAAAACATTTAAACAATTTCACCAACTATAATTTTAATGAGGAAAAACAGGTTCATAAGGTTTAACAGTTTAACATTTACACTGCTAAAGAGTTTTAAGGAATTCAAGACGGTGGAGACATATACCTAAAAAGAACTTTGTAATTACCAAAAAGGATAGAGAAAGATGGGCACTAAGGATTTCCTTTACTGATCCTTTACAATCTCTCTTCAGTAAGCTAACTATAAATTTTAAGTTCTTAAGTATCAAACTTTTCATTTAAGTGTCAGTATCCCCAAATTTTTAATACTGAAATTCTAAGAATAAAATATCCTCATATAATCAAACTATAAAGAATAGAAAATAAGAATAATACACATCATTATGTTTGGTTAAAGCTAATAAATTTAAATAGAGCTAAGCTTCCAGTTTATCCACCAATGTCTCAAAGATCTAAATAAAAAGAAATATTGAACTTTAAAATACTTTAGGATCAAGTATTTCCTTACTTTTCTCCATTATTATTTGTGTATAAAATAATAAAGCTGTTAGTATTTTAGAGAAAATGTTAAAATTTTTTTTGAAGTGGAATAAAAAGTGAACTTTTCAGTTTTGTTATCACTAGGAGATGGCTAAAGCCTCATTGTTCCAAATAGCAATATCCACTTCTGATTTTCTACTTCATAAAATTCCCAAAACTAAACAATTAAAAGAATAAAAAAGAAAAGTAAAAGCCACTAAATATTCTGCTTAACATTCTTCCAAATAATTACTGGGTATGTGCCTTACAAGACAATATGCTTACAACCTAAGTTTCCCAGTATTGCTAAATAACAGTAATTCCTGCATCAGACGTAAAATGCCTCCTCCCTCCCCACCCACACCCACACCCACACCCACACCCACACCCACACCCACACCCACACACACACACACACACACACACAACTCCACTCCAAGCCAAATTTATAAAAGACAAACCACCTAGGAAATGCCCTATTTTATAGTCCCACATCCTCATGCTAGTCTATCATACCACTCTCCCCCCCTTTCCTCCTAACTTCTCAAAAAATTTATATTTCCTAGCAACCCAAAAAGCAGTTTTAAATCCTCTTTTGGAATAAAATAGTAATCAAAGAAATGTGTATTAAAACACTTCCAAAACCACTTCCCATCTGTAAAACTAGCTATTTTTAAAAACGCACTTCTTCCTTTTCTTATATTTCTAACACTGTCTTGAATGAACAAACATTAGATGGGATACATTAAGAAATAATTATTTAATGTACTTGAAGCTCTTAATTCCTTACATTTTTAAATAAAAATATGAGTAGAAGAGAGGAACATTAGGAAAGGAGAAAAAATTGAGACACTAAAAATCCTCATCCTAATAGCACACCTTCTGTTTGTCCTAGGGAGAAAAACCAAACATACAAAAAGGGAAACATAACAAGAAAAAGTAACAAAATATTAGTTGTTGTCCTAAAAAATAATAAAACTAAAAGGGCAGGTATGGTATCACGGATTACTGTATCACATAATACAACAGTTCCAGCAAAATTTGAGAACCATGTAGTTTAATTCCTTTTTCATCAGGAGTTACTGAGGTGCAAATGAAATGTAACTAAAATAGAAGTTTTGTGATTTTCAGTATAAGTATCAGCAAATCTACAGAGCTAAAATATTGTATCTCCTATAGAAATGTTACACTTCTCTTAAAAACATTTTCAAATTATCTATGAAAAAGTGATTATTTGGTAGATTTTTAGTTACATGTATTTCAGGAATACTTTCTTCCTATTATCATTTATTTTGCTTACATTCTGCATCTCTCTCAGCTTCAACAACTAAGACAAACTTACTAAGATCTTTTCTTTTCTGCTTCTCACAGTACTTTGATTAAAGCCACTGCAAAAGAAAATGAAATATAAAGTAAAACTTTTCTCCAAACAAAACTGTTTAATGTACTAGGCTTATATATTTCACAAAATAATCACTCAACAAACCAGATTCTTCTATTCAAAATCCAGAAGCATTTTTTAAAAAGTGAAACAATTTACTAATACTTGAATGTTTATGAACAAAATTTGTATCTATCCAAATTTTAGGATATTCAGAAGGCAAAAATACCTGGGATATAATTACTCTGTGGCTCAATTCCTGCTGGGAAATTAGTGTTTTCTGGAATGGAGTGGGTATAATCATCCAGAGGCGGTAGTTCTGTTAGGATCTCAGTGTGCCGTGGCACTAATACTGGAGGCAAAACTGAAAAAGTTACGAGAAATCCAAGTTAATGGCAAAAAGCAAAAGGGGAGGTGGATACTTTAATACAAGTTTTCACCAAAAAGAAGAGGAAAAAGAGGAAGGTAGCTTAATTTTTAAAAGTTAGGATCCACCTATTTAGTATATAACAGTTACTGAGAAACTGACAAATATGATTATGGCTTAAACTTATTGTGTACTCCACCATCTAAATTGCCACACTCTAATTATCTCGTACTTCTAGGAACAATGTGATCCTGGTAATAATATGTTATCGTAGAAGTTCATAAATCCCCATTGGAGAAGTTGAGGAAAGATGAGCTTGATTTGTAAAATCAGATTCAGGGGATTTTCTAAAAATATAGCTACATGCTTTCTTAAAAAAGTTTCAAGTAGACAGCTAAAGAAATGAAATCTTGCTACAAGCTTTACTAAACTGCTAATACACAAATGATGTCATTAAAGTACTTCTAAAAACACTCAAAGAACAAAATGCTTGAAAACAAGTCACTGCAGCAGAGAAGTATAGCAGTGTATCAGTTTAGCTCTAAGCAGACGGCAAATCTGTGGGATTTCCTGGATATGTACTTTGATGCCAAGCAGTATGCTAGTCCAAGAAACTGACATACCTTTCCAAGATATGTTTTTCCATAAAAAAAAATTCAAAAAATAAAAAAGCATTTTTAATTACCACCAAATAATATGCTGAATTTAAAGTAATTAATTAGAATTTTACACTAAAATTTCCCTGGGTCACAAGAATACCTAAATATACTTAAGTTTAGGCATTTAATTTGAAACCAGGAAAAAACCCTGCTATTTTCCTACCTGGTGTCTCAACTCTCTGATAGTGGTAAGGGTTTACACATACTTCATCCTTTTTAAGATTAAAAGCATATTCGCAGTTTTCAATTGCCTTGAGTTCATGATGACTGTGAAGATCAGGCCAGCGCCACAATCGGCAATATATAACATGTGGCAATCCTTTTCGGTGGGATACCTGAAGACGACCATCAAGAGACCTAGTGAAAAGCAAGGGGAAAAGGAGGGAACTTTAAAAAAAAAAAATAGGTGTAGTCATATGGGCTAATTAGTACAATAACAGCATAAAGAAAGAAATGATAGCCATTTAGTTAGTTTTAGTGAGAATCAGGAAGAAAAATGTACTTTTTAATGGATCTGATAAAAAAAGTATGCAGCAGCACTAGATGTTTCTTATAAATATGCTACATAAATGACTCAAATGCCAATGGAAGGCTAATTACTTGGGAGAAACTGATTTTTACAAAAGAATATTATACAATTATACTTGAAAAACTTTGTCAACTTCTACTTTTAGTATATCAAACTTTTTAGAGATGCTTTTCTAAGGGCATTAATTCTGTAGGTGACTAAATAGTCAAAAACAGAACTAGTTTGTGAAGAATGGTAAATACCAACAATGATGTGATAGTAACTTACTCAGACTAACGTAACTCATTACCCAGTTGTGACTGCTTTGAGAACTGAGTTATATTTATATAGTTCACACATAAATGCAGATGGTGATGAATATGATGAGATGAAATGGACAAATATCATATACTCAAAAAAGAGAATGAGGTGATAAAACAGGTAACATAAAACAAGCTAGCCTACTGTTGATTGTGGAATAAGGGCTTCAGTAAATAACTATGTATTTATTAGTATAAAGATGAGATTTCGATGATAACAAGAAATTTAGCAAACCTAGTCATGTATCTACTTAAAAATTAGGCCAACAACAGATTATAATCTAATCTCAAACTATAATGAGTATATAGTTATAAAAGTTCTTATTCTTTAGGGGATGCAATAATTTAAAGAAGATTCAAAACTAGAATTGCATTGATCAAAACATCAGCTGAAACATTTAATATATTTTTAATACTGGCAAGCAGATATTTTAAATGCTATGCCTTATTTTACATTAAGGAAACATCCTAGACAAAATTATACTAAGCAACCCAGTATAGGTCTTCCAAAACATCCCCCCACCCACAAGATCTCTAAGATTTGATAGAGGGCAGAATATTCACCTGGTTTGTTCAGAGAAGCTGTAAAGGCCTGTTGTATCCCACTGATCTATCGTATTTGGTGTACTCAGTCCCCAAATTTCAGAGCAAGTGCTGTGCATAAATTGAAAAACAAAAAATTGATGTGAACATGGAAGCATGGTTATTCAAAGTACCATGATGTAAAACATGGAGAATGTACAGAATACTTCCTTCACCCAGAAAATATAAATTGCTTCACTTTTTCACAGGCATTTAGTGCTAGTTACTATATTTTCTATATGAAGGAAGCCAATAAAATGGAACATGTGACTCCAGATAAGTTATGATTATGTTTTTAAAATGTGAACACCAATGTTCTCTAGGTTAATGAATCATACCTATAATGCCCTTTCTAATTTCCTCTACTCAAAACAAAAGATCTAATACCTATGCCATGGATCTTACTAACAGTGCTTCATTTTATAATCCAATTTTTTAAAAAAATTATCTGAACACAGATGCCAACTGATATTTTTAATGCAGGAAAAAATCCCAAGTAAAATAGACACATATCCACAGTTACGGTTTCACATTATTTGGTCATGATACTTAAATATTCAGTTTTACTGAAAATTATTATTGTAGTCTTATAACTCATATGAACAAAGAAGTAGACTTTGAAGTCATTCTAATATAGCATACCATCTTAAAATTTTTCTTCACATTGCTTTGCAGAACATGGGCAGCCCAGAGACAATTCTTCCTACTTTCCGTGCCACTACTTCATTTCAAGGTAACTTCTAGTCAGTGGGAGATGGCAAGAAGAGCTTAAAAGGGAGTTTTGGAATGAACTGCCAAGTCTCTCAGTACTAAGCTATACTTTTTAAATGAGTCAAAAGGTAATTTCTGAAACTCCGTTCCATTTCTCATGTATTACAAAATCGTCAAAATTTCAAGGAGAAGTAAGGAATGCTTCAAAACAACTTTTGAAAACAGATCAAACTGATAAAATTCCAAATTTACACATTGCTAGTGAGCTAACTAGATCCACATTTCAAAGGAAAATGGTAGAAAGTGCTGACTTCCTGTGGCCAGGCAACACAGTCACCTCGTATGCTGGGTTTCAGTGCTACAAGTTCTCTAGAACAGCCATCGGGCTGGAGGAAAATGTCATGCCCTGTTTTGGGGGCTACAGTAACTCGACAGTAAAAAAAAGTCAGAAAATTTCTAGCACCTCCCTGAAATATTTTACAGATTCTCTTACTTTTTCAGACTGCAAAATTTATCAGATTATAAAAGTCAGAAAAAGCCAAGTAATTAGAGGATAATTTAGACCTTTTCTTTTTTCCCAAAGATATACTTATTAAAAAAAAATGAAGTAAATGGTTCCTTTACTTAAAAGATATTTATCAAAGTTCTAGTGGAAACATACGGCATGATACAGTTTAAATCACAATACAATCACCTAAATTCTAGAAACTTGTGAGTCTGGATTTAAGGAAGAAATATTATACAGCTGATACTTCTTTCTTTGAAAATGATTAACAGAAGTGTAGATATCAAGAGGCTGTTCTGCTCTTATGATACCACAAAGAACATTTCACTTAAGTTACTCTGGCACTGATGTGAGTACCAGAATCTAAAATATAGCACAAAGAGCTTAAACTGTGCTTTATTTAAGCCTTGAAAGGAATCAGAGAAGAATAAACAGTAATTGTTAAGAACTTGCAATCAATCTATGTAGTGGCTAACAGACAGAGACCCCTAACTTAGCCACTTTCCAAATGCCATCACAGGATATATTTATTTAAGCCTCTGCTCTATCATTTATTATACTATCTCCCTCACAGAATTGGAAGGTTTTTTAAAAAAATGTTAAATTTGCTTCTAGCTAGTAAACTCTGTTTGTATATATAAGAAAAAAGCATTTTTAAAAAGAATCCAATTTATAACAAAACACAATTGGCCCTCTATATCCAAAGGTTCCACATCCCTGGATTTAGCTAACCATGAATCAAAAATATTAAAATCAAACAAAATCCCTAAAGACTAAAAAACAATGCAACAATTAAAAAAAAAGACAAACTTAAAAATATATAACAACTATTTACATAGTATTTACATTGTTTTAGGTATTATGAGTAATCTACAGATGATTTAAAGTATATGGGAAGATGTGTATAAGATGTGCAAATACTACATCATTTTACATCAGACCTGAGCATCCGCATATTTTGATATCTATGGGGGATCCTAGAATCAATCTGCCATGGATACTGAGGGTCGCATCCAAAGCTTCTAGATAAATATAAATGTGTCAAAATACATTTTGACAAAAGAAACATTTTGAACATAACTGAAGACTACAGGATGTCAAGAAAAGGAAAAAACAGGTATGTCCCTAGACAGGAAAGTAACATCATAAAGATATTAATTCCACCAAATTTATATATTTGATATAATCTCAATAAAAAGAACAGATCATTTAAAGATGCAGACGAGATTATTCCAAATACCATAAAATGCCAAAATAAATAGGTATGATCAGGACAACTCTAACAAAAGAGTAAAGACTGGCCCTGACAGATTCTGAAACACACCATAAATTCTCAATAATTAAAACAGTATGCAATTAGCAAAATACTACACAAACAAAATAGTATAGAGGTTCTGCTTCCAGTAATGGCAGAGTATCTTCAAATAGGCTAACTTTCCTTCAGATAACAATGATAAACTCTGAAAAAAAAATTAATAATCAACTATTTGAAAATAGTAGAGAAAAACCAAAAAGAAGTAAAAGTTGAAGGGACATCAACCTGTAAAAGAGGGAAAACTGCACTGGATGAGACTGCACTTCTGTGGCTATGTACCCGAGTCAGAACTACACAGGGCAACTAGAACTCAAGCAGAAAACTGCAGTTTTTTGTTTTGTTTTTGGAATCAGAGGACAGATTTGGGGCTACCAGAGAAGCTGGAAAAAAGGGGGATATATCCTATAAAGAAGGAACAACATGGGGGGAAAACATCAAAATATGACTGTGATCTCCACCCAAAATAAAAAACCTTGCTATATTTTTGAAGAGCTAAGTATATAAAGAGCTATCCTATATTCATAGATGACTCAATGTTAAGATGTCTGTTTTCCCCTTAAGATGGCCTATTTGTTTCTTATCTATTGCAATCATAATTTCAGGAAAAAAAATTTTGTAGCAATAAACAAGCTGATCCAAAATGTTTATGGAAATGCTGAAGATTGTGAATAGCAGAATATTCTTGAAAAAAAAGAATTATTGACTCATGGATGAATCTTGGAAATATCAGGCAGTTTTAATCACGTTTGATCAAGAGAAGCTAAACATAAGACTACATGCTGAATAATTCCACTTATATGAAGTTCTAGAAGCGGCAAAACAAATTGAAAGTGAAAATTTTAAACAGTGGTTGCCTCCAGAAGAACCACTGGGAGTATGAAAGAACTTTCTGGGTGATGGAAATATTCTGTATCTTGATACACTGGTATATTCATTTGTTAAATCTAATCGAACTGAACACATGATTTGTGCACTTCATGTGAAAATTTTAGCTGAAAAAAAAAAAAAAGGCAAGAAAAAAACACGAAGAACTCAAAGAAGTAAAAACCAGAAAGTCCCTACAAAAAAGTTCATATGGGAATTTCGCACGTGATAAAGAAGGCTCCCTGTGAATTTACAAGGAACGGTCTTTAAAATATCATATTAAGTGAAAAAAGCAAGTACAGAACAGTAAGTATAGTATGCTACTGTCCACATAAAAAAAAAGGCAGATAAAAAGATGTGTATCTGCTAATATATGCATAAAGACAAACACGCGCACACACACAGACACACCATGAACAGTAGTTTTGAGGTGGGGAGAGGGTGGGAGGGAAGACTTTTCAATGTATGTTTGTATGTATGCATGCATGTATATACACACATAATCATATGTATTTTTAAGCCATGTGAATGTATTGCCTTTTATCAGAATTAAATCAAAATATTGCCATGGAATTAAATGCAAATGTTTTTACATTTCTATAAAAAGGTATGCTTTTAATCTTAGCTAAATAAGCATAAGAAGCACACTGTTATTTCCTATACTGCATCATTTCAAGCACACTTTGGCATTATTATAGGAGACAAGTAATAATAACATGCCAGCCTGAGCCTGTTCATTCTCTTCTGACACAATGTCCTATCTCACATGGGCCTCTGGTACCAATTTTTTCCATGTGCATTTATGTCAACTGCCCCTAGCTACCTTTTGACTTTACTACTAATTCTATAATGTGCCTAGCAAACCAGGTCAATTTTTAAGATGTTGTTTAGGGGATTTAAATTAGGCAGTTTTAATCACCCACTCTCCCTTAAAAGACTGATTCTAACCACATTGCACAATATTTTCCCAGAAGACCCTGAGCTCCCAAAGATTTATGTATATATACCCACCACCCAGCAAACAAGATATCTGATAACTCAATTAGCATTTTCATAGCACAGAAGTCTGGATTATAACATTCCTAGTCACACTAAATCAGCAGTCCCAAACCTTTTTGGCACCAGGGACTGGTTTCATGGAAGACAATTTTTCCAGACTTGGGGGTTGGGTAGGGGGGTGGAGGACAGTTTCAGGATGATTCAAGCACATTACATTTATTGTGCAGTCAAACCTTTCTGCTAATGACAATCTGTATTTACAGCCGCTCCCCAACACTAGCATCACTGCCTCAGCTCCACCTCAGATCATTAGGCATTAGATTATTCTCATAAGGAGCACACAACCTAGATCTCTTGCATGCGCAATTTACAATAGGGTTCAAGCTCCTATGAGAATCCAATGCTGCTGCTGATCCGACAGAAGGCAGAGCTTATGCGGTGATTAGAGCAATGGGAGGAAGCTATAAATATGGACGAAGCTTCACTGGCTTGCCCACTGCTCACCTCCTGCTGTGCGGCCCAGTTCCTAACAGGCCACAGACCAGTCAGTACTGGTCCCCTGCCTGGGGGTTGGGGATCATAGCACTAAATCATAACATTTTAAATAACAATGGAGATAAATTGGATCTCTCAGGCTTTCAGAATGCAGTTAAAATTTTAGATAAGTAATACTGATTA